TATACACATATATGTATACGAATAAGTGTATATATATATTAACCATATATATATATATATATATATATATGAATTTGAATATGTATATATATTAATGTTATATGATATCAGAAGTTTAACTTGGAGGAGTTGGAAGAGTTCTAATTGGAACTCTAGGGTTAAGGAGGATTGAGCTGGAGTAGTGGAAGGATGGGTGACCTACTGGGAAGTGAGTTTCGGGATCGTGGTTTGGTCGGATCGGATTGGGGTCGGGTCGGGGTCGGGGTCGGGTCGGGAATATGTTTCGAATTTTTCATTAGAAAATTCCAACGGAATGCGGTTGAAAATTCCGTTGGAAAATTCCAACGGATATCGGTTGGAAATTCCGTTAGAATTTTCCAACCGAAATTGCGGTTGGAAATCCGTTGGAAATTTCCAACGGAAAAATTCGTTGCAATTCCGTTTAAAATTCCAACGGTTTTCCAACGGACACCGATTTCTAACGACGAAATTCCAACGGATAAATCCGTTGAAAATCCGTTGGAAACGTTAATTTCCAACGGAAATTTGGCCATTTCCAATGGATTTACCCGTTGGAAATGACCATTTTTTGTAGTGAATTGGTATCAGAGCTGGTCACTGATCGTAGGAGAAAAGTCCTCTCATATCAGTGTACGTGTTGAAGAGTCAACATGGACTCACTCAAAGAGTTTCAGTCTCTTGGAAAATCCACAATTCTCGATTCGGAGAATTATAGTTTTTGGAAGGTAAAAACTATGAATCTCATCAAAGGAATTGATGAAGATGCATGAAGTTCAGTAGATGAAGGATGGAGTGCCCCTACCGACGCGAAGGATGGAAAGGAGATCTTGAAACCTAGATCTGAGGGGACACCGCACGAGAAGCGAGCATCTGCACTAAACTCAAAGGCCATAACCATCATTTTCAACACGGTTGATAAAGATGAGTTTAAGCAGATTCAAGGATGTAAATCTGCAAAAGAAGCCTGGGATGCACTTGAATTAATTCATGAAGGTACTTCAAGTGTCAAGCGCACAAGGAGAGATCTGATCAAGCATCAATTCAACATGCTTCAGATGGGTGAAAACGAGAGTGTCAAAGAATTCTGTGGAAGGCTGAATGCACTGGCAAATGAAGCAGAAGTCCTTGGAAAGACCTATCGAGACAAACAACTCGTGGCAAAACTTCTCGTAAGTTTACCCAAAAAGTTTATGTCTCATAAATCTGCTTTCACTATGGTAAACAATGTGGGTACAGTTAGTTTCAAAGAAACAATTGGTGCGTTTGCTGCTCATGAGTTAGAACTGGAACTATATGAAAAACCAAAGGGGGCGACTCCAAACAAGGGGGTTGGCATTTCATGTTCCAAGGTCATCGGAGGATCCAAGTCAAGTATCACTAGAGGATCCAAGTCAAGTATCACTAGAGGAAGACATGGCGATGATCGTAAAAAAGTTCAACAGGTTTTTCAAGAAAAAACCATTGACCACTGGAAAAGAAGAGACAAGAAATTCCGGAAAATGTCTGGAATGCAAGGGAGCGGGTCAATGGAGGGCCGAATGTCCCAGCGTTGCCAAAAGAGAGGCAATGTTGAAGAATCTGAAATATATTCAATGCTATGAGTGCAAAGGATATGGACACACAAAGAATGAGTGTACAAATGGTAAAACAAAAGGTAAATCTCTTATCACTCATGAAGAAATTGAAACAGATTCTGATGAAGAAAGTGGAGAAGAGAATATGTCAAATTTCGTTGCATTCATTGGAATAATCGAAGAGACTGAAGAAGAGATATCCGAAGAAGATCTGTACAAGGATATGTCAAGGTTATACGATATCAACACAAGATTGATAAAAGAACAAAAGAAGAATGAGGTAAAGCTCTTGGAAATCAAGGAGCAGCTGGATACAAAAGTATCAGAAGTTGATGATCTGAAGAAGCAACTAAAGGTGAAAGAGGAGAAGATTATATTACTACAGAATCAGTTGGAAAGTACCATGAAGAATGTGAGAATGTTTGGCAATGGTACTGAAAAACTGGAGCACCTACTGACAATCGGGCGAACAGATTCTGGACATACTGGACTTGGATATACTGGAGGGAGCAAAAACAAAGTAGGAAACTTTGTTTCAGGAGGAAAACTTGGAGATAAAATAATCTCACAAGTAAAACAGGCTCCAAAGATCAAGATTGATCTATATCCAAGACCGCAGAAATATCGAGAGTATCGCACTTGTTTCTACTGTGGAAAAAGAGGTCACATCATAATCAATTGTTACTACTGGCAAAATTATCAGGTACCACCCATTCTGAGATGGAAGCAAATCTGGAGAAGAAAAGATGCCTCGAGGTGTAATGTGGCATACACTTCTGAACTGAAGACAAGCGAACAACAGTGGTATTTTGACAGTGGATGCTCACGTCATATGACTGGAGATGTCAGTATGCTGTCTACATTCGAAGAAAATCTCAAAGGAGGGAACGTGACATTTGGAGATAGAAGAAAAGGAAAGATTTTGGGCAAAAGAAATCTGGATGCATCAGGACTGCCCAAACTTA